ATGAAATTAAGGAAAAATTTTACAATGAGATTAAGATTTCAGCTGTTAATGAGGTCATAACTATGGGTGATTTTAATTTAAGGCATATGTAGATTGGGAAATATAGAGTCAAACCATCAGGGAAAAAGGTTTTTGGAAACTGTTCAAGATGGTTTTCTTCATCAATTGATCAAGGAACCTACTAGAAACAATGCTATTTTAGATTTATTGTTAAATCCTAACATAAAAATGGTTGAGAGGGTGGAAATTAGGGAACATCTTGCTGCAAGTGATCATTACTCCGTTAGGTTTGATGTTTTGCTGCAAATGGAGATAAGGAATAATGATATCTTGGTTACAAATTTCAGAAATTTTGAAGGAATGTGACAAGAACTATCTGTTGTGGGTAGCTGAGATATTTGGAGATAAATTTTTAAATATTCAAGATAAACATATTCTTTATAGAAAGAAATTTTATTTACATTTTTTTTCTGCTACAAGTTAACTTGTACTGAACTGAACTAAAATTACTACTGAAATAATCACTTGACATTGAACTGAAAAACAAACAAGCTACTCAAAGTTAAAACTCAAGTAACCCCTTTGAAAGAGTCACTGTTCGAGCACCAACATAGTGAACTAAAACAAAACACCACTATAACCTGGGTTGTACAAAAACAAAATTAGTTGAATTAAACTATAGAAGAAATAATAAATAAATAGTAAACAGAACCATAACAAAATAACAGTATAATTCACTATATTAAAAATTCCTTTCTTCTTTTACTAGTGCTGAAAGTTTGATTTTATAGTACCTGAAATAAGATCTATGTGGTTTTACACTACTAGTCCTGAAACCTGTTATGTTACCTGTATTAGTATATATATTTAGTTCCTGACAGCTGTTGTTATCTTATATATATATATATATGAGTATAAGCTTGGTCTGTTTGATACTGACAATTATCATATCTTATATATATATTAACTAGGCTTTTAATTAGCATTACAAGTAATATCTTCATTTATTTATATATTAATTATCTTGTTTTAATGATTTTATGAAGTTTAATCAGAGATGTTTTATAAATACAAATACGAAGGATTTTATGAACAAGATAATTACCACAGAAGGAAAGGTCAGCTAGTATCTGTACTAATCTGTCTTAAGGGTCAGCTGTATCTGTACTAATCTGTCTTAAGGTCAGCTAGTATCTGTACTAATATATCTTAAGAGTCAGTTGGTATCTGTACTAATCTATCTTAAGGATCAGCTAGTATCTGTACTAATATATCTTAAGGGTCAGTTGGTATCTGTACTAATCTGTCTTAAGGTCAGCTAGTATCTGTACTAATCTGTCTTAAGGTCAGCTAGTATCTGTACTAATATATCTTAAGGGTCAGTTGGTATCTGTACTAATCTATCTTAGGGTCAGCTAGTATCTGTACTAATCTATCTTAAGGGTCAGCTAGTATCTGTACTAATATATTTTAAGGGTCAGCTAGTATCTGTACTAATCTGTCTTAAAGGTCAGTTGGTATCTGTACTAATCTATCTTAAGGGTCAGCTAGTATCTGTACTAATATATCTTAAGGGTCAGCTGATATCTGTACTAATCTATCTTAAGGGTCAGCTAGTAACTGTACTAATCTGTCTTAAAGGTCAGCTAGTATCTGTACTAATCTATCTTAAGGGTCAGTTGGCATCTGAACTAATCTATCTTAAGGGTCAGTTGGTATCTGTACTAATCTATCTTAAGGTCAGCTAGTATCTGTACTAATCTATCTTAAGGGTCAGCTAGTATCTGTACTAATCTATCTTAAGGATCAGTTGGTATCTTTACTAATATATCTTAAGGGTCAGCTAGTATCTGTACTAATCTATTTTAAGGGTCAGTTGGTATCTGTACTAATCTATCTTAAGGGTCAGCTAGTATCTGTACTAATCTGTCTTAAGGGTCAGTTGGTATCTGTACTAATATATCTTAAGGATCAGTTGGTATCTGTACTAATATATCTTAAGGGTCAGTTGGCATCTGTACTAATCTATCTTAAGGGTCAGTTGGCATCTGTACTAATCTATCTTAAGGCTCATTTGGCATCTGTACTAATCTATCTTAAGGATCAGTTGGCATCTGTACTAATCTGTCTTCCGAACTTACAGGGTCCCAGTAATTGTACTAAGTGCCGAAATGTAAGAGATGGGCCATACTGTGTTGCGAAGTGCCCAGTCACGAAGTATAGTGATGACGGAGGAGAGTGTAAACTTTGTCATGAGAACTGTCTTAACGGGTAACGTCAAGCTATGTTACTATATAAATATTTATATCTGTAGTAGCTATAATACATTATAGGAATTTTAGAAGTGGAGCTACTTTTCATAACTGTTAGTTCTAGTAAGTTATGAAGGACTGTAATTAGAATGATAAGAGCCAGTATTAAACTCCACTAGCACCTAAATCAGATCAGTAAGTAATTATGATCATTATAAAATTAAAATTTCGTGATTTTAGATATGCTTTAAAATTACTGTTTCCATATGGTCTTTAGGTGTACAGGGCCGAGGAATACTGTTGGTCATAATGGATGTGTCTCGTGTGAAAAAGCTATAGTTAGTGCACACGATCCAAATTTTGTAGTAAGTATGAAAACGTATTTTTCATAAAACTTTTTTGTTTATTTAACCTTTTAGTGCACATAAAAGTGAAGTAATTCAATCCAGTATATGGAAGAAATCAACAAAATCTCTAATTTTGAAAGTTGTCAACGTCCTTTTCAGGGATGTAAGTAATGAAATAATGTCGTTTCTTGTAATATTCATTTTTCATAGTTTGGTTTAAGACCCTAGAATAGTACAAACTTTAAAAAAAGAAAAAACTAAATTACTTTTAGTTAATTTTTAGCTTTGAGACATTATGATAGCAATGCTATTTTGATTAACCTTATTTGCCTGATATTAATTTTAATTTATACACATATTATTTCCATGTTGTAGAGTTTTAGATTTCATAGATGCTGAGCTGGATTCAAATCTGTGATCATTTCTCACACTTTAAGGTGTGGGTGTACTAATAAGAGTGACAGTCAAACCTCTTAGTGTAGTTGGGTGCTTAGAGTGGTAGATAGCCTTAGTAGCTAAATACAAGTGGAAAAATTACCCATAATAGCATACATTGCTGATATCAATTATTATTACTTAAATTATCATTAGGTGTGAAGTAGATATTATATCAGGTAATGAATATTTAAATGTTTTGTTTTGTGAGTTACATTTAAATACTGTTATAAACTAACGAATATGGAATATGCTAATTAATTTTAAAATGTGCCACCATTAGTAATTCAAAATGTGTAAACTATTAATATACAAACACATTCCTTTGTAAGTTCCCATTAACACTATACAATAAGTACTTATACCATCTTCAACAATTACAATTCTTTCCTCAGGAATGCTGCTTAAAAGAAGAAGAACCATGCCCAGATGGTTATTATATTGAATATGTAAATCCTCGAGAAGAAGGGCCTCTTAAAAGCTTGGCTGGGAAATTGGTTAGTTTTACATAATTTTGAATAAAAGAGAACTGCAGTGAAGTAATTATATGATATTAATCAAGACATACGGTAGTGTGTTGTGTGGCCAAAACAACCTGCTGCAGGACACGCTGTGTTTTATTAACACGAGTGAAAGTTTGGCAATTTTAGCCAAAACAACCTGCTGCAGGACACACTGTATTTTATTAACACGAGTGAAAGTTTAACAATTTTAGCCAAAACAACCTGCTGCAGGACACACTTACTTTCACTCGTGTTAATAAAATTTGGGATTTTAGCCAAAACAACCTGCTGCAGGACACACTGTATTTTATTAACACGAGTGAAAGTTTAACAATTTTCCACCTTCTGTACTATGGTAATCTAAACTATCACATATTTTCAGTGGATGTACCTTACTAGAATCTTACTTCATATACCATTAAAAAATATCTGAGATATAACATCTCCAATTTTGATTGAGTTTCTTCCTCTTTTTTTTTCTTCTCACCAAAAGTATGGAAACTTTATTTGATATAAAAACAAACTTAACTTTTATGGATTTTTTTTCATATTTGATACACTGATGGATCTTTATAACCTACAACTATGAGTCTCATTTGGTGTAAATATAAATCACATGTACAAAGTTATTCAACAAAATCAGCTTAAATTTGACCAAAATTTTTTGCGCACACAAACGCAAAAATTCATGTGAGCTATCAGTCTAACATTTTTACTACAGCTTCACCTAAGAGTAAAAGATGATTGTTTTTAGTTTTTTGTCATTCAGATTAAAGATGGCTGATTTAGAGCAGCAAAACTATAAGGAGAAAGGATGTACAGGTATTGGTTAGGCCAAGAAAACTAGGTTAGTAGTTTCTAGCTCAAGTTTTCAAAAGAATCATACGGGTGGATGGTTATTATTGATTGCCAACTTTTAAGCACAAATTTATTAAATTTTATGAAATTCTCCTAATTAAACAGTGTTTAGCATCACGTGATATTAGCTTAAGCAATTAGCATAAATAATGATGCTTGATACAGCTGTACTGATTGCATGGGGGTGATGACTAGAAACTGTTAATCTAAATTCCATGGCGTTACTGTGAAGGGAGCTGTTAACACTGTTTTAGAGAGGAAAAACTATCACCATATATTTAAAGAATCTGGTTGTTTCTGAAAATTAAGGCCTGTTCCAAATAATAGGGTTACAATCCTAAAGCTAATTTTGGTTACTATCGAGTGTCATTTTCTTACTTGCTGTGGTTTGTTGGTATATATTGACAAAAGTTATAATTCCTAATCAAAAACACCTTAGGTGTGGCCAAAAAAGGACATTCAGCGTGTGCCTTAAAGGAATGAAATCAAAATTAGCGACCAAAGTGGTAGCTAAACTTATAGCTTTAATAAGAATTTTACAACAAATATTCATTCATTAGTTAGATAGGCCACATACTTTGTTTTACCCATCATCATCATGCCCAAAGTTGAAAACAAAATGTTGCCTAGTTAACTAATTAACAAATATTTGCTGGAAAAATTCTTATCAATGCTATAAGTGTGGCTACCACTTTGATTGCTAATTTTGATTTCATTCCTTTAACTTGCACTCTCAATCCTTTTTTGGCTGCACCTTTTTTTTCACACCTAAGGTGTTTTTGATTAAATTTAATATATTAAACCTTAATGTCAGGCTTAGCTATTTGTTAATTTCATTTCTTAAAAATAAATTATTTCTGAATTGTTTTTATTTTATGTAGACTAGCCCTCATACTGTCAGACTTTGCTAGTTTGTTAATCTACATTCTTAGAAACAAAATTCTTTCTTTGTTTTGTTTTTTCCATTTTCCAACTTAAATATATTGAAGAATATTGTATTTATCTTTGCATTCATATTTGGTGGACACAGAACTCAGTTGAGAAAATATTGAAACCATTTTTAAATAATTGAAAATCTGTGCATGATTATTAATGAACTAAATGCTTTCACGATGTGAATCTTAATAAGTAGATTAATATAAGCCTTTATTTCAGCTTTTTAACTTCCCTTTGAACCATTAAAACGTCTGTTCTCTTGTTAGTTTTATTCATTACACTTCATAACTTGTGTTGATTCTTACATTTCCCAGCTGTTGAAAGAATAAATTAAAGTATGTACCTTTTATTAGGTGTGCCGAAAGTGTCATAAATTATGCAAGACTTGTACAAGTTACGGGGTCCACATTTCGATGTGTGAGTGTATGAACTACAGCTCAGGGCAGCAGTGTACAGCAGAGTGTCCCAGGGACCACTATCCAAATCAAATCAGTCGACGTTGTATCAAGTGTGCAAGTGAGTGTCGAGGATGCTATGGTCCAACAGCTGCCAATTGTCGTGCATGTCGCAATTACAGAGTGTATTTAGATGAAAATCAGACTGTGGTAAGTTTAAGGTTCATGTATGATCAGTATCATGTTCGTATACATGTTTTAAAAATCAGACTGTGCTAAGTTTATGGTTAATGTATGATCAGTAATATGTTTGTATACATGTTTGAAAAATCAGGCTGTTGTTAGTTTACGGTTGATATATGATCAGTAATATGTTTCTATATATGTTTTAAAAACCAGGACTGTTGTTAGTTTACGGTTAATATATGATCAGTAATATGTTTCTATATATGTTTTAAAAACCAGGACTGTTGTTAGTTTACGGTTAATGTATGATCAGTATCATGTTTGTATACATGTTTTAAAAACCAGACAGTTGTTAGTTTATGGTTAATATATGATCAGTAATATGTTTCTATTCATGTTTAAAACCAGACTGTTGTTAGTTTATGGTTAATATATGATCAGTAATATGTTTGTATACATGTTTTAAAAATCAGACTGTTGTTAGTTTACGGTTAATATATGATCAGTAATATGTTTCTATTCATGTTTAAAACCAGACTGTTGTAAGTACCAATTTGAAATAACTCCTCAGAGTGTTTTTCAAGTAAAAGAATTAAATGAAATTTGACAATACATTTGTTACTATCTGTGTTAACTTCCCTGGAAATAGTATTGTGTACATTTGTTTTATTCATTGTTTTTACTAAACTTATATTGTCTAGAAAGTATTCTGTCATAACATTGCCATGTACTCTAATTTGTCTGAAAACATCCCAGTTTTGCTCTGTTATTAAAGGATAAACATCAACTTTTTTTTTGTAGTTTAATTGTACAGCATCCTGTCCACTTGATAAGCCTGTCAAAGTTTTGATTGATAACATGGAAGATCCCTTCTGCTCCATAGATGGCCCTACAGCTCTAGAAATATATGAAATGTAATTATTTATTTTCATTAAATAACATAAAAATCATGAGATTTATTCATATACTTCTAAAAAAAAAAAGAAGTTAACATTTAAAATAACTGTTATCTTTATAATAGATATTATGAATACTACATGCTCTTAATTTGAGTTTTATTTTTTTATGAATGTGTACTGAAAAATATAACTAGGGTAATTAAAGATTTTTATTTTTACCAACAGAAAAAATAACATAGAAGCAGTATTTGGTGGATCTGTTGGATGTATAGTGGTGCTTTTAGTTTTTTTGGCTATGTTTAGTTACTTCTGGTTACATCGAGCTAAGAGAAAAGAAAACTCAATGAAGCTAAGAATGGTAGGTTAACTGTTATCTGGTTTTAAGAAAAAATTCACAAATGATCTGTTGTTTTTTGCTTAAAAATTATCTGTCTCAGTCTACACGTTTGAAACTATCATAAAGTTTTCTCTTATCAGACCTACATTAACTACACATGTTCAGTATGTGTCAAACAGACCTACATTAACTACACATGTTCAGTATGTGTCAAACAGACCTACATTAACTACACATGTTCAGTATGTGTCAAACAGACCTACATTAACTACACATGTTCAGTATGTGTCAAACA